ACAAAGTACATGAAGTTGTAGCCAGGTTCACTAGTCTCCTGTTTCGTGTTGTCCAGGGGGTTGGTGTGGTGATGATCGGTCCATTGCCAGCGATCGGACAGCTCGTCAGGCAGCTGGGGTCCGAATCGTAGCTGGTGGATCTCGTGGGTCATGGTGTGTTTCTCGTTCTCGGCCAGGTTAGGCTCGAAGAACGTGGCGAGGTCGTGCACATGGAGATTGCCACTGGTGAAACTGCGCCCAGGCGCGATGTGGAAGTTACCGATCACCTTGTTGACGCGGAGGACACCCTCGAGGCGGCAGCCTTCCCGGCGCTGCGCATCGATACGCTCCGCATACCCCTCAAGATCACACTGTTCAATGTTCTCTCCCTTGCCGAAGGCCCATTGCTTTTGGGCATAAGCTTCGCGGACCTCTTCGCAGGTGTTGCAGCAGCCAGCCTTGATGGCACCGGCAGGTGCGGGTGCGCCACCACATTCGCCGCAGTAATCGGGGTCCAGGTGCTTAGCGGTCTCTTTCGAAGAATGACTAGATTGGAAGCAGCACGGTCAGCGATAGCCAGCAAGGAAGAACAAGGGGATTCCAAGCTTACAGCTCCAGAGCTTTCACATCAATCACGCGACCTCCTTCAGCCTCTGAAGTCAAGCGCACCTTGTTGATACCATGAGCCACGCCCGTCTGTTGCTCGCCTGACACATCCATAACGTCGAGGGTCAACATTTCGCAAGGGAGTCGGGGGAAGGTCATGTTCAGATGAATCTCCATCTTCTCGCCTGTTTCGCGCCAGAGGTCGTTCAGTCAGTCTTGCTTCATTTCTCATGCAATCTCACGCAGAAGAGAAGAGTATTTTGTCATACCTCTTGACTTATCGACCACCAACTCGGGCAGAACCACTACGCGCCTGTAGTCCACCCATTCTCCCCATACAAGCCAGAATATAACCAGCAACGATGCTATGGTGATAACTCCTCCAGACGTGGTTCGAACGCGCGCATCTTCGACCGTTTTGGCGAACGCATCTAACCTTGTAAATCGTGATTTGGCCGGCATCTCTCTAACAGATTGACGACCATGCGAAGAGGGTCGTCGGATATGTGGAAGGGTGCGCGGTCTTCGTTATGGACCGGAGATCAGCTATTTAGTGCCCGCGATCAAGGCAGGGGCGGCGTCTGGTAGATAATGACTGAAGTTGAATGTTAGCCAACTGGGTTGAGGTTGCTCAATGGGACAGAATATCTGGAAAACAGATCAGGGGACGTACGTGAATGAGTGAGGTGGGTAGGACAGTAAGTTTCCAGCACAAAGCAAATCCTCTCCTGGGAGTGACGACTGGCGTGCGACTTCAATGGAACAAGCTGTCCTGTTAAGCTGAAGCGGAGAACTACTGACTGGACTTAACGGTGCGGGTATCAGGCCAATACCGAGTACGGGGGGTATTGTTGCAATTTTACTCCTTATAGATTAGCCTGGTACGGTTATCTACCGACGTGCATGCATCAATACGAAGGTATTACCAACAGTGCCAAAGGACAGACTACAGACTCTGATTGGACATTCTTGGATACAGTGCCTGATAGCGGGTCACGTGGTAGCTATCAGTTGCAGGGCGGTCTGCTGTCCGCTCACGTGATGCGCATCGCCGGGTGCACGTCACTTTTTCTGCTGACTCTTTTGGCTTGTCTCTAAACTAGCTTCTGCCTTTTCATTGTTCCATTATTCCCCTCCTTCAGACCTCCACTCTGAGGTTGGTTGGTGGTACTCTCTCAAACGCACCAGAGGTTCCCCAAATTTAGGACACCGATTCAAAGAATCTTTCTTTCATCTCATCCCACTCGACCTCGCAGGCGACTTCTTTCAACATCTTTTTTTGAATGCCGTTTGCCTGATTCTGGACGACAAAGCGCGCAGCGCTCCATCTGCCTACAAAAGCCTCTCGCGCATCGTCGACGCCCGATTTCGTCTCCTTCCAACACACAATCTTGTCGACGAACACCATCCATATTACGAATTTTCTCTTTGTTGCCCACTATGAAGAACGGAAAGGCTCGAGGCCGTCCCAGCGCTTCGGATCGCGGGGGCATCCGCAAGCGGGGTGCTGCGAAAAAGGTCGATCGGGAAGGTGATCTGGTCATGGATGGAAATACGTCTCAGGCCCGTGCGAAGAGAGGTCGTGGGGACTCTGTTCGATCCGGCGCTTCTTCTGGAACACGGTCTCAGACATCCACCCGAGCTATCGATGCCATTCAGAAGGCTATTTCCAGCAACTCGGAATCGCAACAAGCAAATATCCGGCAAGGTGGCCGGGCCAGTAATCTGGAACAGGTCAGGGTCAACAACTGGAAGGGGAGCAAGGCCAGATCGAATCCCGACGGCGGCCAAGAAAGCCTAATCGCCTTCCTCGAGAAGAAACTCAGCCCACCCGACGCGAGAGCTAGCGCACGCGCAAGGATCACTAAGGTATGTGCAACACCAGAACTTGCGATCATCGACATATGAGTTATCACCAGCGTCGTCCTCTCCGATGTGCTCTCGTTCTCAGTGATGGTACCTCCAGAACGACGGTCGACACTTGCTTCCGCTCATTTGGCATTTATTCCTTGGGATGATCGCGATCATGGGAGGTCTCTTGCGCCTTACTAACGTTCACTAGTCGCGGCTCGAAGGCGACGCGATCATCGTGTCTATCAAGCCGGAGCTGTTAAACAGAATGCTTCAGCTTAACGGCTTTAACTTTGCAGGCAAAATTTTGGAAATTGAAAAATATGATGAAGCTGGGATAGACCAGTCGATGCTACCTGTGAATGGTAGCACGCCCACGGCCGCCGACACGAAGGCTAAGATGACTGCTTTCCTCGCCAAACGGTTTAACCGAGAAAACAAGCTCCTTGATCTCTCGGATCTACACAACGATCCGGATCTCATCGCCATGGGGATTTTCCAAAGCACATCAACTGAATCCAAGTTTTTTCCTGCGCTGATGAAAGTTTGGGAGCTGAATCTCAGCCTGGTGTTCGACAGCCCCGCCGCGCGTCGCCAGGCGGTCGAGAGTGTCAGTCTGAGGGCCAACAAGCTTGAGAATCTTAAGATGGTCACCACCTTGGCGCAAGCCTTCCCAGACTTGAAAAACCTCGACCTTTCGCACAACGACTTCAAGGACGCACAGTCCTTGCTGGTATGGCGCCACAAATTCGAAAATCTCGAGCTCCTGGACCTCTCCAACACCCCTTTCAGTGCCGACCCTACGTTTAAGGACACCATGCTCAAGTGGTATCTCAAACTCCGAGTCCTCAATGGTATCGAAGTTCGGACCGCAGAAGAATTGGCCGCACTGAAGAAATCCCCGATTCCTGTCCAGGCACCGTATTTCCGGGACGAGGGCTGCATTGCCGAGAACTTCATTAGAGCTTTCTTCTCGGGCTACGACAATGACCGGAACGGTTTGCTCGATAGCGTATACGACAACGAATCCACATTCACTCTTAACATCAACACCGCCGCTCCCAGAGCCCAGCAAGCTGATGTTGCAGCCTGGGACGCGTACATCAAGAATAGCAGGAACCTGCTCAGAATCACGCACTTGACCGCAAGAATGTCTCGATCGCATAACGGTGCGGAGAAAATCCGCAAGCTATGGAACAGCCTTCCTGCTACAAGACATCCGGATATCGCGGCGCATCCTCAGGATTGGCTGATTGAGTGTTATCCGATCCCAGGACTGGCTGATCCGACCGGCCAGAGTCCCACTGGTGTTGGCGGCCTCTTGATCACAGTTCACGGTAAATACGACGAAATCGGCAAGGGCTCCAAGATCGACACGCGGAGCTTTGACAGAACTTTCGTATTAGGCCCTGGCGGTGGCGCGGGTGGAGTGAGAGTCATCAACGACATCCTATGTTGTCGCGCGTACGGCGGTAACGAAGCATGGGCTCCAGAAACCGAGGGAGCCGCTCAACCGGCGGCTCAACAGGCAACTCCCCAGCAGTCTATCGATCAGGCAGCTGTTCCTCAGCAGGTGGTGGGACCACCGGCCACCCCGGATGGGTATGGCATGCCTGCCCCCGGAAAGAGTGAGACTCAAGTGCAGCAAGAGCAACTCGTAATTCAGGTCATGAGCCAGACTGGAATGACCTTGCAGTACTCCGAGTTGGCTATCAGCGGAAATGGCTGGGACTTGGACAAAGCTTTGCAGGACTTTGCCAAGCTCAAGGTAAGACCAAACAGAAGACTGTTTGCAAAAGATATCCATACTAATCGATCTACAGGAACAGGGAACGTTGCCCCCTGAAGCCTTCCTAGCCGGAACAGTTTAAACACTCGACATCGCCGCTCGTCATCGACAGAACGGCGGGTTCACATCACACTTTGCTAGATCCCAATGGTGTTTGCTTGGAGTTACAATTTTGTCTTACTTTGACCTGGTCTGTTTTGCTGCTTCTTATTGCATGGCTCGGGCGAATGGCAATCGGGCTGAAGACTCAAATACTGAATCTAGTTTTTATTTTCATCTTATCCTGTTATGTATCAACCAAGACTACGAATATTATGTCCATAAACAAAGAGCCTGGGGCCTGGAGAACAATACCCCCTAGGCAGATTCATTACCATCCACACACTTTTCAATTGTCAATCGCTGTATGCGAAGAAAATGAAAGCTTCAATAAAGATTGTAGATCGTTGGAGTAACAATACAAGAATATCAACAAGTTCCATGGTGTTAAGCCCGGAGTGCTGGACAGCTTTGCCGGACTCCCGCCCGCGCTTTGTGAGCTTCTCCGAACCAACTCCCCGCCTCCCGCTTCCCCCCCAATCGTTTGGAGCTGATCAACCCATCCTACTCCATAACAACTAACTAGCTCTCTTTGTTCTTCCTCTCCCCTGTACTTCCTTGGATGTGTGCATGTTCAATTGGCGACTGCCCTCAAGCTGGTATTGCAGCATGTGTCTGGTGTCTATGTTGAAGAGCTGATGGAATGTTCACCACTACTACCACTACCACCGCCTCAATGCCCTCCAATGGAGCGGCCGATATCGACCCCTTAGATGCAGGTGAGCGGGCTTGGCTGACAACTCTCAGTCCTGCGTCCTACGAAGCACAATCACTGATCAATCTGTTGCACTAGCGGATTACGATCCTATCGATCATCTTAACTCAATCTTCTCCCATCCTTCCACGCTGTCCGCCGTGTCACAAGTGTCCCAGTCCCTTTCCGCATACGAAGATGAGCTCGACGACGATATCAGCGCCCTGGTCGAGGACCAGGTCACCTCGAATGCGGAAAGTGTTGAGCGCATCCAGGCCGCCAAAGCGGACCTGACCGAATTGTTCAAGAAGATCGACGATGTGCGCGACCGCGCTTCCAAGACCGAGCTCGCGATCACGGAGATGACGGCGGATATCAAACAATTGGACAACGCGAAGAAGAACCTCACACTATCCATGACAGCCCTGAAGCGGCTTCAGATGCTGACAACGGCCTACGATCAGCTTCGTGCCCTCAGTCGGACCAGGCAATACCGGGACTGCGCCCAGCTGCTGCAGGCGGTCATTCAGCTCATGGCGCATTTCAAGTCGTACCGGTCGATCGATCAGATCGCTCTTCTCAGCAAGAACGTGGCAGATATACAAAAGGAGCTCCTGGAACAAGTTTGTGAGGATTTCGAGCTGGCGTTCGCCAAGGGGGAGGTTGGGTTGCGCAGGTCGACACTCTCGGAGGGTTGCTCGGTCATGGATGCGCTGGGCGAACACGCCAAATCTAGGCTCGTGACCTGGTACTGCAATTTCCAATTACGGGAGTACCGCCAGGTGTTCAGAAATAATGAGGAGGCAGGATCTCTGGACAACATATCGCGGCGGTATGCGTGGTTCAGACGTATTTTGAAGATTTATGATGAGGAATACGCGCCCATCTTCCCCGCGTCTTGGAAGGTTAATGAGACCCTCACCAATATTTTCTGTGAAGGAACGAGGGACGACTTCAAGGGGATTCTCTCGCGCTCGGTGCGCAATGGGCAATCGATCGACGTCAATCTGCTCCTGTCGTGTTTGCAAGAAACCTTGGATTTCGAACATTCGCTTGAGCGACGCTTTGTGAGCCCCGCTCGTCCCTCTACTGATACCTTCGCCTCGAGCGAGGCGCCGGTCTTTGGCCAGGCTATATCGGAGGCTTTTGAGCCCTATCTCAGCGTCTGGGTCGAGGCTCAGGATAAGCAACTGGCTGCGCTGATACCAAAGTACCGGCAGCAGCCGATTAAGCCGCCGGACGAAGAGTTCGACTCGCACATAGTGATATCCTCCTCAACGGATCTGTTCAACTTTTACCGACATGCTTTACAGCAATGTGCGAAACTGTCCACCGGCGGAAGCCTTGCAGACCTGGCAAAGGTCTTTGCCAAGTACCTGGACCAATACGCACAACAGGTACTTCTCTACTATATCAGTGAACGTCCCAGTGGCCACACACCATCGAAGGTACCCAACCTCGAGGATCTCATCCTGGTTCTCAACACTGCCGATTACTGCTACACGACCTGTAACCAGTTAGAGGAGAAGATTAAGGGGAGGCTGGATAAGAACCTGAAACAGTCCGTGGACCTGCAGAGCCAGGCGGACACATTCATGGGTATCGCGTCTGCAACCGTTCGAGGTCTTGTACGGAGGGTTGAAATCGACTTGGAACCTTGTTGGCGCGAAATGCGCAATATACCCTGGAGTCGATTGGAAAATGTCAGCGACCAGAGCTCCTACGTGGGCGAACTCTTGTCGAAGACTCAGACCAAGTGCTCGGAAACTCTACAGCTGCTACACAAACAGCAATACGCGCGGGCCTTTGCAGACCACACTGTAGAGCTGATCTCAACCCTTTTCACCACCAACATTTTCCAGTCCAAGCCTATTGCAGAGACTGGAGCGGAGCAGGTAAACTATTCTCGATCACCGTTTACGTCCCGCTGCCTCTCCTAAACTAATCACCTGTGTCTAGATGCTCCTCGATGCCTACGCCCTCAAAGCCGGTCTTTCATCACTTCTCCCAAATCCCGCCCCCGCCGGCTTCGTCAAGCGCGTCAACAGCAGTTTCGCTAAGATTGAGGCCCTCCTCAAGACCCTGCAGGTGCACCCTTCGCCCCCCGAGGCCCTCGTGCAGGCGTACCTCGTCCACATCGCCGACCAGAACAACACCAACTTCCGCAAGATCCTTGACATGAAGGGCATCCGCAGCCGCCAGGAACAGAACCACCTCCTGGAACTCTTCCAGATCCACCGCGCATCCGATCGCTACGCCTCCAACCTCCAGCAGAGTAACCCCATGCTAACCGCCCTGCAATCCACCACCGCGCCCACCTCCACCTCGGTCTCCCAGGGCCTGGGACTCGGCTCGGCCGCCGCGTCCATCGGCGCCACGAACCTCCCCACCCGCTTCGACGCATCCCTGCTCGGCTCCGCCCTCATCTCGGCCGCCAAGGACGGCGTCGACCGCTTCGGAACTCCCATGAGCGGCTCCTCGGCAACCACGATACCCGGAGGAGGCAGCGCAGGCGCAACATACGGTGTGGGTGGTGGCGGCAGCGGAGCCATCCTCACCTCGGCCTCCTCGACGCCCAATCCCGCTGGTTCGGCCCCGAGCATTCCTGGCGCGGAGAGCAGCGCCACTGCGAACCTGAACGAAAATTTGAAGAATATCGGCAAGTTCTTCCGCCGTGATCTGGGTGGATTTGGCGGTAGGTTTGGCCGAAGTGGGGATGACGGGTGATAATCTTTTGTTCTAGGTGTGTGTTGTAGGTGGGATGTACTTCCTGTACATTTGAACATAATCTCTTTTACTTCCTTTTGGAATGCCTGTTGTGCCTACGTACTTAGCATGGTGGTTGCTTCTTGTGGTTGGTCGGTAATGGTAACTTACTGTATGGGATTCGTTCAACTTTGCTGTGAATAGATAGATTCTAACGAGAAGTGTATGCTGTGTATGATCGTGTTCCATAGCTTGTGCCGTGTGGCCTGTGGTTGGTTTTGCGTGGCAGCTGGGATATAAAACTATCTATGCCCTTGTGCTCGAACTAGATACAGTGTGGCTCTTGGCTCTGAGCTAGCCGTCTGTCAAAAGCGAGTTCAATATTCTTTGTCTATGTTCAAGTGACCTCATTCTCCTGTTTTTGGGGGTAGGGGTGAGCAAAGTGGGCGAAGACAACGTGGGTTTCCTTTATGTTTGGCCGCGGCAGAAGATTCCATGAAGAGGCGTTTCACAATTTCAACGGTCTCACATGTGAGTGAGGTTAGAAATGGTTTGACACCCTTTGAGATGAATTAAGGACATAGTTGGGGTTGGTTAGAGATGGTATTATGTGGCCGCTATAAGTAATCCAGTTCTGCGCCAGGCTTCTCGCAGAATATATGAGTTGAAGGGTTCGTAGCAAAGATATATAGATAGCCCCACCTACGACGGACACTCTCAACACAGGAAGCTGCAGGAGCTTTCAAAACGACACCGGAAGAGTTTCTTACTAGTAGTAACGTCTGAATATCGTCGTATCCCCGACAAGGCCTGTTACACTGAATATGTCAATATCTAAGTATATGTACAATTACATCATCCTTCGTGATGTTCACAAGAGTTTACTCGTATGCATTCACCAGAAGGTATACATTGGTTCATTTTTATGCCTTCGTCTACTCGTCGTCCCCGCCTCTCGGCGTCTTGCGAAGCTTGCTCATGGCATACAATAGATCATTCAGATCACCCCGCTTCTTGTCTTCGGTGGTGGCCGCGATTTCCAACGTACCCACGGCGTTGATAGCGCCGGTCGCGGACTGCAAGGTCGGTTCCCAGCCCAGCGAGCCTTCGGTGCCCTGCTGGAGACGGAAGGCCTCGAGCAGGATGGAAGGGGCAGAAGGGCTTGCGCGCCACTCGTTAGTCGAGCCCGCAGTGCGGACGGAGTCGACGGAGATGAGCAGCGTGTTGTCCTTCTCGATGCTGGTCACGGCGAGGACATTGCCGGTGAGGCCGAGGGGGTTTTGGGGCTTGAGGGAGCCGTCAGCTTCGAGGGTGAAGCATTGGAGTTGGGAGGATCTATGGATGATTGAGGATTAGTGGTTGATTGTTCTCGATTTTGCGGTTGTTGTTGTTTAGATCAGATGGACTTACCCATCAAGCGCAACAAGAATGAGTCGCAGGCCCCCGAGTGTCGTGGCCCAGATTCCGCGGACGACCACCTCAGCGGCGGATGAGTCCTCGACCAAGGGAACCTTATGGAGAGCACGGCCCTCGGTCCAGTTCCAGACCATCAGGTAGTTGTCCCCTCCGCCGGAGATCAGGTACTCGGGAGCGTCCCGCGGCACGCAGATCTTGCTGATGAAGGCTGTATGACCCAAGCAGTAATTTTCGATGACATGCGCCTGGGGTGGGCCACGGGAGACACGGATGTGTTCGTCGCGGTCGGCGGTCAGGATATAGGTACGCTTGTGGGTGTCGGAAGGGAGAGATACGAAGAGCATGTCGGTGAGCAGCGAGACGTGGCCGAGCAGGAGGTGGTGTTCGAACGAGGGGCCGGACTTCTCCTCCCCTGCTTCCTTTTTCTTCTTGGCGAGTTCAAGTTGCTGTTCCAAAGCTCTCAGATTGCCCTTTGTGTGCACGGTCAGGTTGGTTGCGGCAGGATGGCTGAGTTTCGCCTCTCTGTTTGGTCTGGGAGCAACGGCGGGCTTTTCATTACTGGGGATGAGGGGTAGAGAGTGGACGTCTCCGAATTTGTCGGCGCATAGAATTGTGGTCTCATCGCTAGTCAATGCTATAGAGGATGGTCGCTTAGGCATGATTCTGCGGAGGCAGCGTTAGTATACAACGACGAGCGCGCTCAGTTCGTTAGAAAGTATCATTGGCAACGCTTACCTCTCGCTGAGTTGTTGGAATGAACCATCATCTTGGACCTGGAAGACGCGGATACACTTGTCTTCTCCTGTGACAGCAATGACATATTCGCCGTTCGATGTGCTAGTGATAAGGGGAATGTTCGACCAAGCAGGCGGGGCCTTCGACTTCTCGGTCTTCTCTGCGGTCTCGGACTCTTCCACAGAGCCACAATCCACCGTAGAGACCTTTCTTTTCTTCTCTGGGGGTTCTTGGTCGCTTGAGCCGGTATCTTGTGGCCAGCTCGCAAGTCGTTGGCCGGTCTCGGCAGAGTAAGAGTACAGCCGTGGGCCAGCGGAGGCAAGCAGAAGCTTAGCCTGCGGCCTCTCCACAAACTGAATGCATTGAAAGGGGTATTGGTAGTTGAGAGCCATGGTGTACTGCTTTAATTGGAGCTCAAGGATGGTGGTGCAGCCCCGATAATAATGGATATCGCAAGTAGCAATCGGAGAAAGCAACCTTTGCCCCCACTTGCGATTTGATAAATGGAATAGGCACAAGCAGAAAAAAAAAGCCTCTCACCGCCCACGAGTGCGACACCGCATGCGACACCGCCTACTCTAAGCAGGAGCAGAAGCTAAGCGCGGAGCGGGGCCCACGTGATATATCGGCTAGCGAGGCCACAACCGAGTAAAGATTTCCTAAAATCCGCGGCGCGATTGTTTCTTCGATCCTTCAACGTTTCGATTTATTCGGACAACAACCACTTCAAGAAATTTTCCCTTGCCCTTAAACAGCCTTTCTTCAGCGAAATAAGGAGAAATGGGGGGCAAGTCTGCTACCAAGGCCGCTTACTTCGAGAAGCTCAAGGCCCTTCTCGATGAGTACAAGACCGTCTTCATTGTCGGTGTCGACAATGTCAGCTCCCAGCAGATGCACGAGATCCGTGTCTCTCTGCGTGGTGAGGGTGTCGTCCTGATGGGTAAGAACACCATGGTAAGTTGTTTCTCATTCCTCTGCCGTCGATTGGCCGACGCATATTAATGGTGTAATCAAAGGTCCGCCGTGCCATCAAGGGCTTCGTCACCGACAACCCGGAGTACGAGCGCCTGCTCCCCTTCGTCAAGGGTAGGTCATAATCCACACACCTCCGTTAAAAAGGAGCTAGGAAGCTGACCGAGAGCCGCAGGTAACGTCGGTTTCATCTTCACCAGCGGTGACCTTAAGGCCACCAAGGAGAAGATCCTGGCCAACCGTGTCGCTGCTCCTGCTCGTGCCGGTGCCGTTGCCCCCGCTGATGTCTGGATTCCCGCTGGTAACACCGGTATGGAACCCGGTAAGACCTCTTTCTTCCAGGCTCTCGGTGTCCCCACCAAGATTGCTCGTGGTACCATTGAAATCACCACCGACCTGAAGCTCGTTGAGGCTGGTGCCAAGGTCGGCCCCTCCGAGGCCACCCTGTTGAACATGCTCAACATCTCTCCCTTCACCTACGGTATGACCATCTCCCAGGTCTACGACCAGGGTCAGACCTTCGGTTCCGAGGTTCTCGACATCGAGGAGTCCCAGCTCCTTGATGCCTTCAGCGCTGCCATCAAGACCATCACCAGCATCTCTTTGGCCGCTAACTTCCCCACCCTTCCCTCTGTCGTCCACTCCGTGGTCAACAGCTACAAGAAGGTTCTCGCTGTTGCCATCGAGACTGAGATCTCCTGGCCCGAGATTGAGGAGCTCAAGGACCGTATCGCCAACCCTGACGCTTACGCTTCTGCCGCTCCCGCTGCCGCCGCTGCCCCTGCTGGCGGTGATGCCCCCGCTGCCGAGGCCCCTGCTGAGGAGGCTGAGGAGTCTGACGAGGACATGGGCTTCGGTCTTTTCGACTAAGCGTCTCGCGTCTAGTTTGAACGTGACATGCACACCATGTTTTAGATATCTTTCTTACCAGTCTTGACGATTGGATGAATGAAATGATTTTCATGGTCATGAATGTTGTGATCCATCTCTCATCTACATAATGGAACGTAGTCTACGCTCCATTATATGATGAATCAATAAAGGTGAGCTTTTTTTTTTTTTTTTTCGAAATCTGTCTTCCATGCACACATTCCCTCGGTGGATGATGATCCTTTTTAACTCGTAGCTACGGCTTTGAAGATCAAAAACAGCAACAACTTACACTCTAATTTTTTGCTGACACCTCTGTTAACCTTTCACTTTTTGTTACTCACACTCTTGAGTTAACCTGAAGGCTAACATCAATTGAAAATAGGTCTGCGTTGGTTCGTCGTAGGACGTAAAGCCAGCTTTTCGACCGTCACCTTGACTCAGTGTCTGCCAAAGTCTATGTGTAGGTTGAGTGATGCGCTTGTAGAAGTTTAGGAATATTGGGATATCTATTTCTGGAGGTCTAGGTCCTATGACGGGAGTGGCCGCAGCATGGTGTATGGAAGCTTTATAGCTAGCAATCAAACATATAATTCGAATTCTCTTGTGCCTGCTTCATAACCACAGTTTCACCCTATACTCGTAAATTGAAGAGGAGCTCTTGAGTATGTCGAACCTGCAATCAGCCTCGGGTCTTTTGGCGGATAATGTACTCACACTGTAACTTAACTAATTTTACTCCGCGTAGTCAGCGGTGATCAGCCGATTGGCGGCCCGAGGCACCGAGCGGCAGGACCTGCGCATGTCATGGAAACCCCTCCTTCCCAAGGTCCCTCCTTCCTCTTCTGTAACATACCTTCGCAACCAAAATGCCCGAGCAATTTGCACCATTGAAGAACGACCTCCTGCTGAGGGCCGCCAGAGGTTAGCCTGAACTGCAAATACATGCTCATTATCGAAGCAAGCTAACTCTCCACTAGGCGAGGAGGTTCCTCGTCCTCCGATCTGGGTCATGCGGCAAGGTACGCATTCCCCCTCCATCCTCCAAATCAAGGACCTGCGGCTGGAAGAAAAAAGTGCAGTAACAATCACTAACCTGGGTGGCCCATTCTACTACAGCTGGTCGTTACCTCCCCGAATACCACGAAGCGAAAGGCAACCGCGACTTTTTCGAATGCTGCCGCAGCCCCGAGATTGCGTCCACATTGACTCTCCAGCCCATTGAGCGGTACGCCGGACTCATCGATGCCGCCATCATCTTCTCCGACATCCTGGTGATCCCCCAGGCCATGGGCATGCAAGTGGAGATGGTCGACAAGAAGGGCCCGCACTTCCCGCAACCGCTGCAGTCGCCGGACGACGGACAGTATGAGAAGGTGATGCAGAAGAAGGTGGACGTCAAGGCCGAGCTGGACTACGTCTACAAGGCCATCACGCTCACCCGCCACAAGCTGGCCGGCCGTGTGCCCTTGATCGGCTTCTGCGGAGCGCCCTGGACCCTGCTGTGCTACATGGTCGAAGGTGGAGGTACGAAGCTCTTCGTGCAGTCGAAGAAGTGGATCTACAGATACGCCGAGGAGTCCAAGGCTCTGCTGCAGAAGATCGCCGAGATCTGTGTCGAGTACCTGGCGCTTCAGGTCGAGGCCGGCGCGCAGCTGGTGCAGGTGTTCGACTCTTGGGCTGGGGAGATGTCGCCCGTGGCCTTCAGCCGGTTCTCTCTCCCGTACCTGCGCTACATCTCGGAGAATCTCCCCAAGAAGTTGACGGAGATGGGTCTGGAACCTGTTCCGATGACGGTCTTCGCCAAGGGAGCTTGGTTTGCGTTGGAGGATCTGTGCGAGTCTGGCTACAACGTTGTTGGTCTGGACTGGCTGCATGATCCCGCCGAGGCCAAGAAGATCGCGAACGGTCGTGTGACGCTCCAGGGCAATGCCGATCCGGGTGTTCTTTACGGTACCCGCGAGGCCATCACCGAGGCCGTGGAGACTATGGTCCGCGGCTTCTGGCCGGGCAAGAAAGGCTGGATTGCCAACTTGGGACACGGTGAGATAGATCCCGGTCTGAATTCTTGAAGCTTTGCGTATACTAATACTACTGGTGGTGATTAGGCATTACTCCGTTCGTCAATCCCGATGACCTCAAATTCTACTTCGAGGAAATCCACCGCTTGACGGCGGCTTAAGATCGTCGCTTGATGTGGGTATGACTCATTTGCTCTCTTGTTGACTATATATATATATACATGTTGGATATCTCCGCTGCAGCGTATCTGCAAAATCCGTTTCTCACGATGACTCAGACGGCAATGTCCTCGTTCCTGTTTGGGTTCATATAGTCAGACCGGGAATTCTACCAAGAAATCAAAAAGTGGCGGAAGTGTGTGATACAAGAAGGGGCCAAGAAATGATACCATGCTCAAAAAAATGGAAAGACAAAATGGAAAAGCAAGTTCCAACTTACCAGAGCTCCGGCTTGTCCTTGACAAAGTCCTCCATCAACTTCTTGCACTCCTTGTTATCCAAGACCACCACTTCCTTCCCACGGTTGAGAAGGTATTCCTCCCCGCCCATGAAGTTCTTGTTCTCGCCGATGACGACGCGCTTCACCTTGTAGAGGATACAGGCCCCGGTGCACATGTCGCATGGCGACAGGGTGGTGTACATGGTGGCACCTTCGTAGGCCGAAGCGGGCAACCGACCCGAGTTCTCAAGCGCAGACATCTCAGCCTAATTGCAATTCGTTGGAAGTTAGTTCGCAAGTTTCTGCAGCTCAGATACGTCATTATGCAAGGGCAAGCTGCTACAGTAAAACCACCCAACGCGAACAACATAATAATACACGAGCTTGTCCAACCAAGAAAGAAAAAAAGACCCGATGCGGAAACGTACATGCAAGACGGCGCTGCCCTTCTGGACGCGCATATTGTGACCGCGGCCGAGGATCTTGCCATCCTTGGACACCAAGGCAGCTCCAATGGGGACACCTCCCTCGGCCAATCCTTGCTTGGCCTCCTCGAGAGCGGCGATGAATCCGGGATCAGTTTCCATGATGGATGGTGGTGGTATTGTTTGATGCGGGGATGCGGGGGAAAAGGGAGGGGGAGAAATGTCGCTTTTGACAGCAGATTAGGAAAAGGAAAAAGGGGACTTGGAACTTCTGGAATCTGAAGATCAAGGCCGGGATTGATGATAATCTTTAACCGAGCACTACGTTACGGTAACTTATCTTTTTTTTCCCTGGTCTTATCTCCTTCCGCTTCGGTCTGCCGAGCCCGGGAGTTGGGTTCTATTATCTCATCGTAACTGCCAACTGCCGAGATCCCCGGGCTCGGGTTGCGCGTCGAGGAACTGATTACGCTATATGCTTGGTGTACAATACAGTATAATTATAATTTACAACTTCAGAATGAGCCTTGGAGATCAACTGTAGATGGAATTGCCCATTGTATATCACTAATTTTTTTTTCCAACTAAAGCAAGCGCATACTCTTTGTTGTCATTTCTTGAAGCTCATGTGTATGTTTCTCGTTTCTCTTTGCTCACTCCTCTGCCTAGTTGTTATATCTGTTGTGGTTGCGAGAATAGTGAGGCAGAAGCTGGCCCTCCGTTCGAAAAACAACAGATCACAATCAACTACACCCCAGAGACCACGACGGCATCTGCAGTCAATGGGCAGACAGAGTTTTGTAGTAACCGCCGCGTCTTGTGTAAAATGGTTTTTACAATTCCTTGGGCTGTCTGAGTCCCCACTACCCATGGAGAAGGATTTGTCCCTAATGGAAGTGGACGAAGACCTACTAGGAGAAACAAGACTAGTCAAGCTTGCTCTGCGAAAAGCATGGTCGGTTTTCCAGGGCAAACGAGGCGGAGGTCAGGGCGGATGTAGCGGGTAAACGCATGTCAAAGTCAAGCTTGAGAATGTGCAACCTTAGGATGTGAGCATCCTCAAGGATGCTGAAGTGTGTAGTCATCCGAGCCAAAACCGTTGGTCAATCCGATGAAAGGGCTGGGGATCTTTAAGTTGGCATGAGCAGATTCTTCTTTGTCGTCTTGTGCAGGTTAATTCATGTTAAGCTAGCTAGGATCATGGATGTGCGGTAGGTTATTGAGTGCAAGAGTTCTGTGGCGAGCTATCTAGCCCATGTAATGCTACAAAGATGATGTGAGGTTCTGGTGGGCTATTTATAGCTTGTTGAATGTAGTCGCAAGATGAGTTGAGATTGATGAAGTTTTGTCCCCCGTTGCTTGAGCTTGAGACTTGGAATTGATCTGTTGTTGTGGGGGTAATATGCACAAGCAATGTTGTTGGCGACACCGCTATGAGATTGTAAGAGGTCAAGCGAAACCCCCCCCTTTGCTTCAGAGAAAGTCGTTTCCTCGGGCATTTCAAGACCTGTTGTGATAACAGGATAAGCAGACTTTGAAGTCATTGAAGGCATTTCCCAGTAGCAGCGGCAGAAGTTAAGTGGTCGATATTTCTTTGGTACCTGGTATAACAGGTTTGGCATGGTGCATAATGCGCAACGATCTTTGAGAAGATATTCGTATCTCATAGAGTTGACCAGCTACTCAGCTGCTTCGCGATGGACTTATGAGAGACAGTAGACTATGCGAGACACTGTGTGGAATTGGACGAGAAGCAGGGAACACACAGTAGATAATCATGTGTAAAGGCTACTGGTGTGAGCTTGGCTGGCTGGGATAACGCTCGGGCAGATGGCAGTGCTCTTCTCCAATGTAGAGTCCTTCTTTGTGGATTTGGTATCGAACACGGTCTCTCCCTATGTGCTAGAGGTCATGTGTTGATCGACTTTCAGAGGTTGTCCGGGTGGCTGTCTTTGCGAGAGGGAGTAGTTTAGTATCTACATATCATTGAGAGAATAATGATTTAGCAGCACGACAAAGGAAGAACACCGACTGAGCACTCGAACTGAAGAGGGAGGTATCTCTGCTTCTTGAATGGGGGGCTATGGCAACGATAGAGGCGAGGTCTTGCGACCACTGCATCCGTGCGAATGCACGCTCGACATGGGACTGCCGGAGTAGGCATACTTCGTCTCCCCTGAATCGGGGTTCGTTGCAGATAGGTGCTGTTCATACATGCTCGGTGTTCGCCATCGCTTAGCATCTCCCAGCACCTCTTGTTCCTCGAAAAATTGCGTCAGTGCTAGGCAGACAGCTGATAATTCAAAGGATTCAACCAAGGGAAAAAAAACCATCCCCTTACTAAAGCCGCTGATGTCAAGTCCAGCAAGATGTGGCATTTTTTTTCATGGTAGCTAAAAGCTAGAGCTCACCTGCCGGCAGCTGAAAACAATGGGGATTCGGGCTTTAGCTCATTAGCTGGCGCTTGCGTGATTGTATAATGGGTATGAGGACAGTCAGCAATATAAGAAGCGAGATCAGCAGCCAATTACACCCACAGCCACACACACACACGCATGGTAATACGAATGCTGCAACTCAATTGAATCACACAATATTTGTCTTTGTGAGGTGTGATGCTAGGAAGAGCGGCCCCTCCAGGGGAAGGGGGCCGGTTTTCTCAATGTATATTGCTTTTTGGACGAGCGAAGGATCGATCACCTTTTGTCTTTTTTGTTGTATGTGTGGTTGGGTCTTATTACTATCACGGCTGAGAGAGCTTTGCAGGCCGCTTTGACCTTTCTTTCGCCCCCCTCTGGTTTGATGGCATACATTCATTACTTTGCTGGCTCTTGGACAAAAATGGGTGTCTTCTCCGATAGCTCCGCGGATGTGAAGATGATGAATTGAGTGGCATGGATCATGAAGACTGTTCAGAACTCTCGCTAAGCGAGCTCCTTCGGTGGCGTAATCGTGCTGCGACTGGGTGGTTCGAGATATTGGATGCATGGTCGCTTACCCAGTGGACGGCACGAGTGTGTTCTTTCATGCCATGATTATGTTGAAGGATGGGGTCTTCGGGAGGCGTGCCCTCTTTCTTCATGTCGGCTAGCCATGGCTGATAGGCAATCTCCGGTTACTGGATGCGAACGAGCGAGACGAGACGGAGTGACAGGGATTGGCCTGCAGTGGTCTTTGCTCAAAAGTTTCTTGTTACGTGCTATATTGTGACAAAGCCGGTGGCAATGGACCCTCGTATGCTCTGTATAACACAGGTGAATTGACCCACGATCCTGCCATGAGCAACCAGATCGGCATTGGCCATCAGAGTTTCTCTTCTCTGTCATCTCCGAGGAACAATGCTGGCCGGCATTTCTGGCCACCGCCATGATTTCGGCAGGCCATCTAGATCGCTGATCTGAGTTGAAGACGCCATCGTTGCCTGTGATGTGCCCAGAACCCCGAACCGCGGCTGCTACGGCTTCATCCTAGTTTAAGCCTCGCATAGATTCCCATGCGAACAATGGTAATGCCATCCGAGCAATTGCGGGAGCTGGCCGTATTGGCTGCTACGCCACCTAGACGTCGATGCAGCGCCTCATCCACAGTTCTTGGGACACATAGAGACTTCTGGCGAGTTCAGTAAGGAAAGATGTCTCGTGTCCGACAGCCTTTATTGTAGTCCACCTCCCCTGGCTAGCATTTCCCAAGAACTGGTAGCGTAGGGATCGCGAAGGTGGTTCAAAGAGTATGTTTTCATGGGACCATATGAGGGAGCGTCCAGTCTTCGAATTGAGGTATGAGGACTGGGATGTCGTGATCGCGAGACAATACGGACTCATCAGGAAGGAATACGATATATCATGGATGACGTTGAAACATGGTCCGAGATCGGGGGAGTGTGTTTGATTTTTGTTCTTATTTTATTCTATTCTATTAGTCTGTTCTTCGTGGCAACTGCAGTAGTCCGTTCCTTTCGGAGTAGCCCCTTGATATTAGCGTTGTGGCGGACATACCGCCATGAAATTTCAACCAGGAAGGCTCATCAGATATTACTCAATAGTTAATTATACTGCATATTAAGATTATACTTTTAATTTGACTAGGCGGTTTGACAGGTTCTCATGGTGGAGCAAGCGCGGACGTCGGAGAGAAAAAGCTTCGATCTCAAATTAAGAAATCCGAGGAGATGGGCGTGGTTTGGATATACGAGGTCTGTAAGTGGATCATTGGCAACTCCATAACCTGCGAAAAGGGAATATCAAGCCATGGCTGCATGGCTGCCACGCTCCGAAGCTGAAATCTGTCCAATGGCCTAGTGTCTGCAAGAAGGTGACCACTCGGTAGATTGTATAGCCAGCATGTCACCACGATAAGATTGATGGCGCAATACTGGGGCATAGAAGCAGCTAAGAAGGCCCTGCAGCAGTCAAGAGAACCGGACTATGGTGTGATTGGCATAAATATTGCGCAAGAGTGAGGGTTTCTGGGGGATTATTGGAGGAGCGGCATGAGGTTGCCCAGCTTCATATAGTACCTTTTTACTGAGTACCTAGTATACTTTGGTTAGTGGACTTAGCAGCTTAGCACGTCCTCTTCGGGCTCGTTCTCCGAGAGAGAGATTGAGAAGGATGCTTGCTCCTCGACGGAACGAGAAGAATGATCAGCAGCAGCAACAGCCCCCCTGGTCACTCAGACGAGCGAAAAGCACAGACTGAGGCTCGACAGGGGTAGGTGTACGTACGTCCTTCCAGAAAGTACGTACCCTCTTCCGCACGTGCCAAGACCAATCGGCAAAAGGAAGCGAAGGAGGTGTTTGGGAGAAGTTGAGAACAGTCTTCGTGTGTTACATGTCTGGTGACCCAAAGGTTGCCATGTGCTAATCTGTAATGTGTAAGAAGCAAACAGATTAAGACAGCAGCCACCAAACTCTCAATCCTTCAGAGGTCTGAGGTCAATACATTTGCAGTAATCAGAGCAGCAACACGAGAGATTCAGTCAGTCACTCGCCATGGCGAACCCACACGTGGACCTACCCTAAGGTGGAAGGTTTTCACCATCAACCCCTGCGATGGCGTGTTCTGCCGTGGCTCCCATTGGTTTTGGCCTGTCCACTGCAGTGAGGGTCGCCATCTCCCTGGGTCTTCGCTGATTGGTGACAGTCCTGTGAAAATCTCCTCGGTCGGCGGGCGGTCTGCCTTGGCAATAATTATCAGATGGAGACTTTTCCCACTTCGACTCTCCATTCCACTCCATCCCACTCCATCCACTCCATTCTCTCCATCACCTATCGTTTTGCTCTCGTCATGATGTCGTTTTGTGGTCTCACCCAGATTTGTCAACTTCTGTCCTTTGATTCCTTTTATCCGGTTCATAATTTATCAAGAGATCTACACGAGGTGAAATCTACGGTACTGCCGGGCGGATAAAGTTGCCCACGGTTAGCCATGGGCCCCGCCGGTGGGCGGAAGCGTTGCAGCTCCACGGCTCATCGTCATCTTCGTCGCTTCCAGACCACACGCACCCCCTTGCAACCTTCCGGGCTAGGAACCCACTCAAAACGATTCTCTTACGCCAGCTTGGTTTCTGACGAGCTTGTCCCTCCTGGTGCCTCTTTAGACTAGACTACTGCCATGTATGCGCGATGCAGATGTGGTGAAGGATCTCCTCGGGGCCTGCACTAATTCCCAGACGGCTCCCTCGCCTGCCTCTGTTCCTTTGCCCTTGGGGCGATCCCTAGGTGGATCAGCTGCCTTCATCGCCTGCGTGTTCCTTGTGTTCGGCTTGCTGTTTGGATGGTTTCCACGTCGGACGATGTTAATTTGTCCTTGGTCTACCGCCGTGTATCCTAGTCCCTCCCGTTCCCCATGCCCGGTTGCCTCTTGGGGCCTGTGCTAGTGGTGATGATCGACTTGCATCAAATTCCACGGGCGACGAAGAGTTGTGTGCCACCCACTTCTCTCTGACGACGCCATCCACATAAAACTGCCGCAGTTCTCCCTTTTCTGTTTCCCGGATTTATAGATACCCAGCCGTGCTTCCTCCCCTGTTCTCCGTGGACATTCCGCGCGGCCCTTCGGTCCTCTTCCAAAACAGTTGTTGCATAGTCCCAGTCCCCGCGGTGCGCCACCCAAGCCACACAACCACTCAATCTATCGGTGAAGTGCGAACTCTTGGAAGCCAGGCCAGGCCTATTAGTGGGATCTAGATGCTGGTTGTCATCTTTGGCCCTTGATTTAGCTTGATCTTTAGCTTTGTCTTGTCCATCCATTGTCCGGTTTAGATCCCGAGCTTGGACACCTCGGGTGGGCAGTTTTGATATTTCGCGTTTGGAGCTCCCGATCACGACATCGTTTCTTGGCTTTCCGATCCCCATTTTAAGCCCACTTTGTTCCCGCCTCCACCACGGACTACTACGACTATATTATCTCACTCCCCAAGTCTGCTGGGGTCTTTGATCGATATCCCTGGAGGCTGATCTTGTTCATATACACTGGAGCCCATTCCTCTCACTTTTTTATTACTTCTGTGAAGTGTGGTCATCTGCTACACCCAACAAAGCCCCAGTGGTCTAGTGGTTCCGGGCACTTTTTAGCCCTACTTCATAGAACTCGCCGGTATCGCCACCCGAGTCGACCACAACGAAGATGTCGAAAGACTTCACAACCAAAGTCGGTCAGGGGTTGGCCAAGGGTCTCGGTATCAAACAAGCCTACCGAGATCCCCTGGGCGCTCAAGCAGATCCGGTCACCAGAGGCGAATCTACCTTTTCCTACGGCACGATTGACACCTATTCCTATCTGGAGCAGGAACCGACGACTGCCGAATGGTTCAAGGAGATCACTCCTAGCTGGCACGATGTTGGCCGATACTTCTACAGACTATTCCCATTCCTGTCTTGGATCACGAGGTACAACACACAATGGCTCCTAGGTGATTTGGTTGCTGGTAAGCCACCCACTCAAAAAAAAATGACTTGATCGGGGCCTAACGGGGACATTCAGGTATCACTGTGGGCGCTGTCGTCGTTCCCCAGGGGATGGCATACGCCAAGCTGGCTGAGTTGCCTGTTCAATATGGTCTCTATTCGTCTTTCATGGGTGTCTTGCTATACTGGTTCTTCGCAACCTCCAAAGATATCACCATCGGTGTATGTTCCTCTGCATTGCATCTGAAATCATGACGTCCCTAATGTTCTCTCATATAGCCCGTTGCCGTTATGTCTACCTTGGTCGGAACCATCGTCCTCGACGCTGAAGACAAGTACCCCGATATTCCGGGACATGTCGTCGCATCGTGTTTGGCTATCGTTAGCGGTGGCATCGTTTGTGCTCTAGGATTGCTTCGCCTCGGATTCATTGTGGATTTCATCCCATTGCCCGCCATTTCTGCTTTCATGACGGGTTCAGCTCTCAACATTGCCTCCGGTCAGGTCAAGAACTTGCTAGGCGAGTCGGCCTCGTTCTCCACCCGCGATGCAACGTACAAAATCATCATAAACTCGCTCAAGCACCTGCCGTCCGCTGGTATCGACGCTGCTCTGGGAGTTACCTCTCTGGCCATGCTGTACATAATTCGCTCCGCTTGCAACTTCCTTGCTCGCAAATACCCCCAAAAGGCCAAGCTTTGGTTCTTCGCGTCGACTTTGCGTACGGTCTTTGTGATTCTGTTCTACACCATGATCAGTGCTGCCGTCAATCTGCACCGCAAGGATGACCCTATGTTCAACGTTATTGGCAATGTCCCGAGAGGTATGTTCTTGCCTGACTCCAGTTGATATTTCTAGAACTGACGATGTTCTTTACGCCAACAGGTTTCAAAGACGCCGGTGTTCCTCGTGTCGATTCGGAAGTCATTTCTGTTTTCGCCAGCCAACTTCCTGCCTGCGTCATTGTCCTACTGATCGAACACATCGCTATTTCGAAGTCCTTCGGTCGTGTCAACAACTACACCATCGATCCATCCCAAGAACTCGTCGCTATTGGTGTCTCGAACTTGCTCGGTCCTTTCCTGGGTGCTTACCCTGCTACTGGATCTTTCTCGCGCACTGCCATCAAGTCGAAGGCTGGTGTTCGGACTCCACTGGCCGGTGTCATCACCGCTATAGTTGTGCTGCTTGCTATCTACGCTTTGACAGCCGTCTTCTTTTACATTCCACAGGCTGCTCTTTCTGGTGTCATCATCCATGCTGTCGGAGATCTGATCACTCCTCCCAACACCGTCTACCAATTCTGGCGCGTCTCACCTATTGATGCGCTCATCTTCTTCATTGGTGTCATCGTCACCGTTTTCTCATCCATCGAGGACGGCATTTACTGCACCATTTGTGTCTCCGTGGCTGTGCTCCTGTTCCGTGTCGCCAAGGCCCGTGGCCAGTTCCTCGGCCGCGTCACCATTCACTCAGTCATCGGCGATCATCTTGTGCAAGGCGATGGCAAGTATGGCCCGGGTAACAACAGCAACTCTCCTGATCGTGATGAGGAAGGTTCTCGTCGCTCAATCTTCCTTCCCCTCAACCACGCTGATGGCTCCAACCCCGAGGTGGGGTTGGAACAGCCCTACCCTGGTATCTTCATCTACCGGTTCTCCGAAGGCTTCAACTACCCGAATGCGAACCACTACACCGACTACCTGGTCCAGACCATTTTCCGCGAGACACGACGCACGATTCCGTTCTCCTACGAGCAGCGCGGCGACCGCCCCTGGAACGACCCTGGCCCTCGCAAGAACTCTCCCCAAGAGGAACAGCGCTCGCAACGGCCCCTGCTTCGTGCCGTCATTCTCGACTTTTCTTCCGTTAATAATGTCGATGTGACCTCCATCCAGAACTTGATCGATGTGCGCAACCAACTGGATCTCTACGCCTCCCCTCGCGCTGTGCAGTGGCATTTCGCTCACCTCAACAACCGGTGGACCAAACGGGCGCTGGCTGCCGCTGGCTTCGGCTTCCCGACCCCCAACTCCGACAATGGATTCCACCGCTGGAAGCCGATCTTCAGTGTGGCCGAGATCGAAGGCCGGTCGTCCGCCGCCGCTCACGCCGAAATGCTTAACAACCAGCACGCCCAGCACGCCGCGCAAAAGCGTGATGAGGAGGACGGTATCAAGCACGAAAGTCACACGACGATGCGGGAGACTCACGGTGTCGAGGAAGGCTCGGACATCAGCAGCGTTCCCGAGGACAAGTTGCAGCATGACCTGAACGACAGCAAGGCGTACCGCAATCGGCGCAAGGTGGCCGTGGTGCAGGGCATCAACCGGCCCTTCTTCCACATCGACTTAACCAGTGCCCTTGAGAGTGCTCTGGCCAACGCGCCACCTGAGGAACTCGAGTGAAGCCTTTTCTAGAGAGAAGTGAAAAAAAAAGAAGGACTCCCTGGATGGAGCTTTTCTTTCGACATGAACATACTTATACTGGATGATATATTGGCATTCTTGTCATTTGACTTGAAGATAGCGATTTGTTTGGACATATGGATTTATTGTGATTGTTCTTTCGGATTCTTGGTCAAAGCTATACCCCCTGATGTCACTTGAATTGTATATAGATGAAACTAATTGAGGGTGGAGGAAGATGATCTAATGCACATTTTTGACGAGATTCATAGTTTTTCATCGTCTAGAGTTGAGTTCGTGTGTAGCTGTTGTGTGGCAGAAGCTAATGTGGCTTCCTATGCTGTTGTACACTGGTAATGCTCGAGCCGTACCTGATGGACTGAACTTACGGTATCCAGCATACTTAGTTATGATGGCCAACAATATCCTCCCTATTCTAAAAATATACATAGACCCTGCGGAACCCCAGGGACAAAGAGGCCGGTGGTCCCTGGGATCAGATAAGCTTAATAACGACAGGCTAGTTGACTCCACCTTGACCCCGATCTCACCAAACCCCCTTCATATTCACTAACACAGCCATCCACTCCCACAACGCCGGCGTTGTGCTCAACCTGCCGTAAAAGCTGCGCGATCTCCCCGTGGCCTCGCGAGACCGCTATCCGCGCGGCCGTCCACATCTTATTCCCGGATCGCATCGACACATCCGCCCCGGCATCCAGCAGCAACCGCACAACCTCCAAATGGCCGCCTTCCGCCGCGGCCGCCAGCGCCGTGTAGCCCTTGTACTGGCCGCCGGGGGCGTTCACCTCCGCGCCCGCGGCCAACAGCCGCCGCACCGTCGCGCGGTGTCCCGCCCACGACGCGCCCTGGAGCGCCGTGACCCCCTGATACCGAACCGCGGGAGCGTTCACCTCGGCGCGGTGGTGCGGGTGCAGTAACAGCTCTACGATGCCGTCGTGGCCCTCACTCGCCGCCGCCTGTAGCGCCGTGCGGCCGCGGTTGACAGCCGGCCGCGCGTTGACGTCCGCGCCCTGCGCCAGCAGCCACCGCACCACCGCGGCATGGCCCCCCTCCGCGGCGGCCTGCAGCGCCGTCCGCCCGTTGTACTTGTGCGGTGGCCGGTTGATCTCCGCGCCCGCCACGACGACCAGATGGCGCACGACGCCGAAGTGGCCCGCGCCCGCCGCCAGGACCAGCGCCGTCCGTCCGCCGTTGTTGCCGCCGGGGAGGTCGACGGCCGCGCCGGCGGATAACAGGGTCTCGACGATGGCTAGGTAGCCGTTGAGCGAGGCCGCTTGCAGCGCGGTGTGGCCGTAGTAGCCTCGTGGGGATTCGTTGGGGTTCTGTGGTGGCTGCTGCTGCTGCTGCTGGGTTAGGAGGTGCTTCACGAGGGGTAGGTCGCCGTGCGCGGCGGCGAGCTGCAGCGGAGTCCAGATGTTCTCGTCGTCGTCGTCGGCGGCGGCGGCGGCGGCGGCTTCTGGTTTTGAGCGGGGTGGTTGGCTTTGGTGCATTTTCTTCGGGGGAAGTGGAAGTCTTGGTGTGGTTGTTTCGTGTTTACACTGCGAGTATATGTGTTTCTGGTTTCACTTGGCAGAGTCCCGGGATGGGATGCTGACAGGTTTGGAGTTGATCTGAGCGTTTAGTTAATTGGCTCAATTGGTGTGGCCATGTGCTACGCTACGGTGATAATGCGGGGGTTGGGTGCACCATCTGTCGCCATTCTGTCTGATCTACTCCGACGGAGGCCCGCAGGTAATCGTTGTCATGCAAGATAAGAGACAGATCAGCGCACGGCGCGTTGGCAGAGATGTCAGTAATCGTTCTGGCCCGTTACTCTTATAGGGATATAGGTATTAATTTCAGTTCTGTGGTGCAGTAGCAGGACCTATGCGAGATTCCTGGACTGACCTTTGAGATAGATACCGCATGGCCGTTCCTTTCTGCTTTTCTCATTACCCTTGACCAGGCAATCAAGATGTGTCAGGCGATGAGACGTCTGCATTGATGAATCAGACAACCATACATCACGCTTGGCGATGTTGTGTGGCCTAAACAGCTAGACACAGGCTTCAATCTAGAAAAGTCATCGCGACTGTGAGTGAAGTCGAGCGGCTTAGACTGTGGCTGACACAAGGCTGACGCTCTGCGAGAGATATTGGCTGTGCAGCCATCATCCTGCGATGGGATTGTGTCAGATAACAGTACAAGACCCGGGTGTAAGACAGTGGCTGCCTGGAGATTCAGGCGCAAAGCGGCTGAGATCAAGCCTTTCGCAACCCTTGCCGGTTCTGGAAAGGCATGCGGGTGAATCAGATGCCGTCCGTGACACCTGCCCAATCGGGAGATTCCAGCACCAGCCCAGCTACCGAGCTCATCTTTCCAGCATCGCCACGAATCTCGGTGCAAACTCGCAATACTGACTGTATGGAGTCATGTCGAGGTGGATTGCTTCAGGTAGCTTCGTGTCAACAAGGCAAGACACAGGCTGCCTATATAAGTGCTGCTTCCTACTTTGATACTTCCAATTTGACATACAGAAACTACTGTTTCATTCTCCCAGTACCCCAAACGAGGACCTATTGGATGAGATGATCATTACTGCCATCAGATATCTCCGTCAGAAACGGCATGGCTCGACTTCCAATCCTCCAGAGCAGCCTTGTCTGCATCGCTCACAAGGGCACCATCACGGGTCAGCCACTACAGGCAATGAAGACCTCGAGTCCTCGGCGCATAAGTCGATCGCCGACTCAGCTGCAGTGCTCAATCCTACAGAACTCAATGATAAATGCAGTATCTGCCATGAGCAGAAGCGCCAGCGGCGCATGTATCGACTGAGACTCATCGCCGGTCTCTCTTTGCCTTTCATCTTGTCCACCCTGGACTTGACTATCGTGGCCACTGCAACCACCGTCATCGCATCGCACTTTGGTCAGTGTCCTTCTCATTAAGGTCTGGGAAATTAGTAGTTAAGTTCTAATTCTGCACGATAGACCAATTTGACGAGTTGAACTGGATCGTCACGGCCTTCAGCCTGACATCGACGACCTTTATCCCGATTTTCGGTCAGTTAGCCGACGTCTTTGGGCGGCATTGGGTGCTGCAGACGGCGATCTTTCTTATGCTCGTCGGGAGCGTGCTGTGCGCGGCGGCGCAGACGTGGGGGATGCTGCTGCTGGGCAGGGCGTTGCAGGGCACCGGATCCGCCGGGCTGGGGAATTTGATCATGATCATCCTGGCGGATAAGGTCTCGTTGAAGGAGAACGCAAGGAACAAGTCACTGTTCACGCTTGTTGGAGGTGTGGGCTATGCGGTGGGGCCCATTATTGGAGGGTATGTTCTCTCTCTCTCTCTCTCTCTCTCTCTCTCTCTGTGCTCCTCTGGGCGCGGTTCGCTAATGACTGAGGGTCAGGTATCTAACTCAAGTGAGTCTCATGGATTCACACTGATGTGAAACAGCTGCTGACAATGCGCAGACGAACTGGAGATACTGTTTTGTGGTTCCCATCCCGGTAAGTTGAGCAGAATTAATCGATTTGAGAAGTGCACCTGTGCTAACTAAATAGGAAGATTGCTGCACTGAGCCATATTCTGGTCTATGTGTTGCTACGACATGACCTGGTCGAGGGGTCCATGTTCAAGAAGGGCACTAGATGGTCATCTGTGCTTCCGGCTCTTGCGACGGTGGATCTCGGAGGATCGATTCTCTTTATCTTTGGGGTGGGCCTCATCATCCTGGCGACCACCTGGGGAGGTGCGACATACTCGTGGTCGTCACCCCAGGTTCTGGCGCCGTTGGTCGTGGGCTCAATATGTTTCGTGGCATTTTTTCTATACGAGTATTTGCTCGAGCCAGGCAGATTGTTTGCCAGAATATTCCCCAGGCATGTTGCAGTCCTGCCATACAGTCTTTTTGAACGAAGAGACACGATCTGGCTGGCGATACTGAACTTTGCGACGGGAGCAGGTAAGGCTGACATGTTACACTCGTAAAAGCATGGTAGTCGCTGACACTTTATCAGCGTCTTACTCCATCTTTTATTTCATCAGCATCTACTACATCCTCGTGGCAGGATACTCCACGTCGAAGTCCGGACTTGAGCTTCTATACTACATTCCGGGTCTAGGAGGTACAGCGTCTCTCCTCCGCCCCATACCGCTGATCGATGCACTAACAGTATGAATCAGGAGGCGTCTACTCTGCCGTATACATGTGCAACATTTTCCCCCGACAGACCTTCTTCCCTCTCACCTTGGGTGCAGTCCTCAGCACCCTCGGGCTGGCGGTGACCTCTTACGCCATCAGCGCCGAGAACACCAGTCTTCTCAGCGGCATGATGGTCGTCACCGGCGCGGGCATCGGGTTACGGCTGGTCCCGTCCTCGCTGCACACCGTGGGCGTCTGGCCCGAGAGGATCGCTCCCGCCATGTCCCTGATGCAGGTCTCGTTGCCGTTCGGCGGCACCATCGGCCTGACCATCATGACCAGCGTGTTCAACAACAAGTTCGGTGACTCCGCGGCCGTCCAGGGGCTTGGGGATGGCGGCACGCCGCTGAACGTCCACGACCAGAGTTCCCTATCCATGCTGGATGGGCTGTCGGCTGCTGCGCAAGAGGCGATCCGGGTGGCAGGGAAGGACGCGATCATGTGGGCATTCATCGCGATTCTCCCGATCATGGGAGCGAGCTTGCTGACGGGGCTGATCATGGGGAATGTATGGGTCAACGTTGTAGAAGATGGGGGCGAAGCGCGAAGCGAGGTGATCCACGTGCCCTATCTCTGGGCCCTAGCCAAGGTGAGTCCAACCCCCCGCCCGTTGTGCTTATGGAGATGCCGTTACTCATACTCACGCAGGGCAATCTGAAGTCTCACAAACAGACCAGCAAGCCTAGATCACACCCAGCCGAGCAACTTACATAGCACATACAAGCATTATAGAACCGAACTATAAACATTAATTAGATAACTTCCCATTTTCAATTCAATTCAACCCTACCGATATCCCCTCCCACACCTAATCAGCGTAGCTGCTCATCATCCCAGGCCTCCACACCCCATTCCACCCTGAACAAACCCCCAAGCCCCCAAACCCCATTCCCTAACCCTGCAAAAGAAAAAGGCAGCATTCATCGCAAAACCCCCCCAGCACCCGCCCACCCCAGCACAAACCCCGACAACGCCTCCCCCAACACCCCACCCCCAAACCAAACATCCCGCCACGCCGCCCGCCGCACCATCTTCTTCGCCGACTTGTCGGCGATACTGCTGCCGGTGGTGGTGGCACCCCGCACAATCCCCCGTTCATCCAGCCCCGAAACCTCCCCCTGCGCGCCCGCAAAATACACCCCCGCGCCCCAGCCCCCGGACCGATACAGCACCAGCGCGTGGAACAGCGCGGACACGACCACCGTGCCGAGGAAGTAGAAGGCGAAGCCCGTCGCCGACTGCAGCGAGAGGATCCCGGCGGTCAGGCCGAGCAGGAAGGCGGTCACGCTGTGGAGGGAGGTGAGGACCTATTTCCCAGGTGTGGTTAGCATGGTACGGTACTGGAGCGGAGCGGTTGGGGTGGAGGTAAGGGAAAGGGTTGCTGACCCGGTTGTTGTGGGCGAGGGACTCCGGGACTAGGGGATTGATTAGGAGGGAGAGTTCTTGTTTCGTGGGGGGCATTTTGAGCGTATATCTTCCCCGTTTGTGGAAGGTAGAGGTTTTTTTGGTAAAAAGGTTGACGGGTGTGGGATTGAGGTCGTGGTGATGGTGATGCTAGGCTAAGGTCGAGATTGGGGATTCTGCCGCTTCTCTCCGCTTAGCTGATAGCTACCGAGTCAGTGCTAGATGGAATCTAGCGATTCCGCCGATAAAAGCTACATTTTACAAAGTAACAAATACTTCCAAATACCAATACTATACAGTATCATTCATCCCTGTCTTTCAGAGAAGTATCTACAGACCGAATCCAGTCAATTCCCTTTGTCCAATTATCACATTAACATCCTATCCGTCATAACATCGACATCCTTGAGACACAGCCCCAAGCATGTCTGCATCAACATGGAAAATACAGCAAGAAAAGAAAAACCAACCAACTGGGAAACAGCTTCTCATGTTCCATTACTAGACAACTTCCTCCCAAAGATTCATGCCGATATGAGATCGCTCATAGGTTCATTTCGGATCCTGCCACTTATGCCCAAAGCCAATCTAGGGTCAATTAATGCAATAGAGAGAATGTAAGCAGAAAACGTCGTTCAGTTCAAGAATGAATGAATGAGTGGAATGGTTGGGATTGTCGCATGCAATCCCTGCGGTTCGTTCAAGCGATGTTGTCGAGCTTGCCGTCGGCCTTGGCTTCGCGCACTTGCTCAAACACCTGTTTCAGATGGTCAGTTTTCTGCCTGTTGTCTGCTGCTATTGGATCTCCAAGAGAACTCACCTTCAACATCTTGTTGCGAGCACCAAGAGCATTCACGCCACGCTCCTCCAGAGCCTTGTCGTTCAGCTCAACCAGCTCCGTCCACTTAAGGTCCTTCAGGTTCTCAGTGTACTTGTGCAACCGGAGCGATCTCAGCCAGCTGGGGATATCCTTCAGCAGAGCCGGGTCCGTGGGATCCTCTGGCGGCTTCGAGCTGCCCCGGCGTCCGCGCGGCGACCGACCACGAGCCACCTCCGAGTGGTCCGAGAGGTAGCCTTCGTGGCCGCCCAACCCAAACTGTCCCATTCCTAGCGCGCTCAGCCCATTGCCCATGAGCGGGTTGTTGGGATCGTACGCAGCGAGAAAACCGTTGTTCTGTGGGGAAGTGAAGTTCATGTGTCCCAAGCCACCGCCCTGCATGGCGATTCCGGGCGAGGTCGGACGAGAACGGTGACCAGCCATAGCAGCGTGCTGTTGCGCCTGCAAAGCGGCCAGCTGCTGAGCATTCAACAACTGATTGGCCATGAGCTGGTTGGGAGTGGGAAGTCCTGGGCTGGCCAGAGGCGGGTGACCCAGGTGGCTGACCGAGCTTTTGCCCTGACCATCATTCGAGCGGGCACGGCGGTACTTGCGAGCATCGTCGAGCGCAATCCGATTGTTCACAGTCGACAAAGCAGCCAGTTTCATCGCTGTAGCGTTAGCCACCATATCGGCCTGCGAGTTCTGCGGAGGGTGCTGCGCCTGCTGCCCAAATGTAGCCGTCATCGGAGTGTTGGTCATGGAAGCCCAGCTGGCATTTCCAACATTGTAAGGAGAGAGCAGAGGGGCATCGATCTCCGGAGCGGGGATGGTGGCCGTCTGGGTGGGCAAGGGTGAACGCAGGCTGGAGGGGTTCTGGCTGAATTGACCCATCGGCTGCTGACCCGAGGAGGACTTGGGTCGAGCAATGGGAGGCTGAGGTTCTGAGCCGCGCTGCACCCAGGGAGAGACGGGGGGCTGGCCCAGGTTGTCGGTGGTGTTGTCCGGGGCTGAGATGGTCGGCGCAACGAAGGAAGTGCGGTCCCCGAAGACAGCGCTGTTCCGGTTGGAGGGAGGCGCATTGCCTGTCTGCTGGGTAAACTCAGCCTTCTTCTTGGCAATGGCGGCCGCCGCGTCAGGGAACATGGCGTTGATGGTCGAGGAATCGAGTCCGGAGTTGCGCTTAGCGCCCGGGGAGGGGGGCGGACGGCCCAGAGAGTTTCGAGAGCTGTCCACGTTCAACTTGGCCATGGCATCGTTGAGTCGATTAGACATAGCGTCTGTTGCGAACGTCAAAGATAAGTCATTGTACCCATACTGTGCGGAAATAGACATACCTTTTTCTCCGAAGTTGGCCGGGGACAACAAGCCCGACATGGGGTGGCTCTTAGCCATCTGCTGCAGAACCTGGATGAAGAAACGAATCTGCACCTGGGTGGTTTGCTGCAGAAGAGCATAAAGCGCAGCGGTCCTTTCCGCCTCACTGAGCACGCGGAACCATTGTTCGATGGCACTAAGCTCGTCCTTGAAGTCCTGATCCAAGGTAGCGGCGGCCATTTCCTCCAGGGTGGTCTCGTACTGGTCAATGTCCGCCAGCCATTGCTGAGCCGCGCGGTCCAAGGGGTCCTCGGTGTTATTCGAGTTTTGCGACTGCTGGTTGAAGAAAACCTCGGACGAAGGACGAATGCTGCGGGAGGACAGCGGAGAGGGGAAGCCCGACATGTCGGCTGATGCCCGCAACTGATGTGACCCTAGGTTTCGAGAAGAGGAGGGCGGACGAAGGCTAGACTTGGAAGCTTCCGGAGTGCTGTTGCGGTTGCCGATGATGTGGCTGGCCATAAGTGAGCAATGAGTGGTGGTTGTCTCGGTGATAAGGAAGGTCGAGGTCGGAGAAGAGATGCTGGGATCTCCCTAGATTTTTTCTTCGCGAGGTTCGAATGGATAATAGATACAGAAAGAATAATATTACTGCAAAACACCTGCAGCACCTGCTGAGTTTGCGTAAAACCGACGAACGTTTCGAACTTTTTATCGAGTCCTTTTTTTGGTTTTTGGCTCCTTTGCCCCAAACAATTTCACCCTGTGCCAATACTTGAGAGCAGTCGACAAGGAGGTAGCGAAATGACCGATCTCACTAAGGACGGAGACCCTTGATGGAAGCGTGATAAGGCCAACGGCGTAAATGTTCTGGACAGAGAGACGATTTGGGGATGCACAGACCAGTCCAGTGGCTGCACTACCCGATTCGGATTCTTAGGGGAAGAAGAAATCAATCGAATCGTAAGAGCATCAACAAGGGAGTCGGAGTGTGAATAAAGGGGGGGGGAGGGGAAGGTCGAGGGGGAGGAGATAGAGTCGACCGGTGGGGGTGGGAGGATGGAGGGAGGGGAGAAATTGATCGGAAGGTGAAAACAAGAGAGTGAGAGAGAGTGAGAGAGAGAGTGAGAGAGTGAGTGAAAGTCAGAGAGGCTCAGTCAGACAGAGAAGAGAAACAAGGCCAGAGAAGCAAAGCGTCGGTTGGACAAAGCGGCGAGAGTTTCCGGATCCTGATTAGTTTTTTTTTCACTTGTGGGTTTTCCGTCGACTGCGACTCTTTCGTTCAACTTCTTTTTTCCCCTTCGCTTTTTCTTTTTGGAATAGTACTCTTTTTTTTCCCTCCTCAAACGAAAGTATGTCAGGATTTCTTTTATAAATGTAAATTGCAATAGTGTGTCAAACACAAGAGGCAAGTAAAAGACCCTAAAGCACCAAAAAGGAGGGGAAAAATAAGGGAAAAGGAAAGTAGATATAAAAAGAAACAGATAGTAGTGGGTGGGGGGGTTCGTCGAGTTAGGAGAGAAGAGAAAGGAGGGAGAAAGAGAGATAGTAGGAGGAAGAGGGTAAATAAGAGCGAGAGCGAGGAGGCCTGAAGAATATGTAGAAGAGTGCAGCAGCATCAGCAGCAGCAGCAGCAGCAGCAGCAGTACTGACAGTACATACAAGCGGGCAAAAAAAGTCACTGGACTCACTAGACTAAGTTGACCATCCATCATCCATCCATCCATCCATCCATCCATCCAACGTCCTCACTTTCCTCCCCTTTCTCGGCTTTACTCTTTCCACTCAACCAGAAGCATACTATTCCTACTACTATATCAACCTATATCGAATCCGAGTCCCTGCGAACAAGCTAACTGCCCTGAAACCTGAAACCTCCCGCCAGTATCCGTGCCTCCTGTCTTCCCTAGACTTGACCGACTGGTCTGGCCGCTTAGTGCCAGTCGCCTGCTAAGTTACTATTATTGTCTGTAGGGTCGGTTGCCTTTCCACCCTTCATTGTTATCGTTCTTATTCTTATCACTATCCTGATGATTATCGTATCGGAACCATGATAAACGAAAATTCATTCCTTTTTCTTTGATCCTGGTACCCTTGGAATTTCTCGAATCTTTCTAAACATGGATTAGGCACACCCTTTGCAACGCCAATTGACCATCCACTGTCCACCCACCCCCCCTCTCTCCTCTCCGAATCCCTTCCACTTGCAAAGTGCTTGTCTTCTTTGACCGGCCTTTTCTCTTGTTCCCCTCCCCAAGCGCGCCCGCATCTCTATGTCACCCAATTATGGTTCACCTTTGGTTCCATAGTCTGAACTCCGCTGCATGATCATTGAGACCACGCCACTGCGACCGCTTCTAGTCTAGACTATTATCATCGTGTCGCGGGGGTGCAGCCAGCTGACGATCCCTGTCCGGCCGCAGAACCACTTCCGAGGATCCAGACCGTCAATCCTGCATGACTTGTTGTCCCCGCAAGGCTCAAAGCCACACATTGAGAGCACTCTGCACAAACCTTATCAAGCAGTAAATCAGTCGTCCAATACCATGGATTATCCCGACCCTACCTACCCGGAGCACGGGAATTCTCCCGAAGAGTACGCCTATCCGGCTGTCAACCAGACAATGCATTACCCATGGCAGGGCGACCAGCCCCCCGCCCAGGCAGAGTCCTCTATCGACCACTTACTGGATCCTCGTCTATACAGAGGCTTGTTTACCGCCGGTTCCACACAATCAGTAGACGATCAAATCGACAACGAGGACGTAGGAAGTTATCCCGAAGTGGATGCCTCTGAGGACTCTCTTTACTCCTTATCCTCAGAGGAAGAGACGTAAGCAATACTGGATCCCTCTCTGAAGCCGATACTGACAGACAGCAGTGATGAGGAAGAATATGAAGCCCCGCCAGAAGAAGGAGATGA